CTATACGGAGGGGTCCACTATATCGAGATGTCCACCATGTAGAGGTTCGATTCCAGCAAAAATCGCTCCGTCGGACCGCGAAGTGTCCACTATAGAGAGGTGTCCACTATGGGAGGTTTTACTGTATTCACATATCGGTTCTGGTCGTCCAGTCAAAAGAAAAATTGGCCAAGTGGCTTAAAGAGACAGGCAAAAACAAGTAAATATTTACTAGATATTATTTTTTGGTTCAATTTCAGTCGTTTTTTAAGATTATGTTATCAACTTATGATGACGTTAGATTACACAATATTCAAACAAAAGCTGAAATGTTACGCGATGTGTCTGATATTGATATACGTACTCAGCTTCATCTATGACAGGAGACTCTACTCTTTCGACGACAATATGTTCGCTATAGACCCACATTAGCAATTCTTAAAGAATTTCCAGGTTATTCCAATCCACTTTTGGTAATTTTAGTTTTCTCAGATTGTTTTCGTCAAATAAATAGTTAATTTTTATTACAGGTATTTGAAGAGGTCAAAATGACCACGAGTGTTGATTTAAGTGTTGTTGTAAGACGACAGATACTGATTTTACTTGATAAATGATTAAAGTGCCTATTTTTTTTACTGGTAACTATATAGATTCATATATGTTCTAATGAATCATATTTGGTTTTAGATTCACTTGCTACTCAGCTCATCAAATTGCTATGTCGACATTTTGATGAAACTATACATCATACACTTTGCAGTTCTGTAAGTATTGTTTCATAGTTTCTCTAGAAGAATCTTTCCTTGATACTGAAGACGACTTCACGAAATGCTATAAAATAAGTCGATCTAACTATGTTTCAGAAATAGAAAATAGTTTATGAACAAATGAATCTGTATTGGCTACTTAGTAAGATTCTTCTAGTTGAAAAATAAAACAAAGATTTCACTAGTCTTTTGCCTTCAACTCTTAAAGCAGAACGGTCTTGACTAAGATCTCTGAAAGTATTATTAGTTTTCCATAGTGAATTCAACAGAATATTGTACAACAGATTTGTATTCATAGGAAACAAGCGGACAAATATTGCAATATTATTATTATTTATATATATTTCGCTTACTCATAACTTTGTCAGCCGTTATCACGTTGAAAGAAGTCAAAAGAATAATTGAGATGAATCCCTCTGTTAAATAAAAATTTAGAAAAAAAAAATTCAAGTTAAATTTCGACTAACGAAAAGCCTGCTAAGACTTCGCTTTTTTTTTTTGGTCATACTGTTCCAACGAGTCACACACCTTTTGTTCATTTTAATGCTATGCCACATTCTCAATCTCCATGTTAGTAATTCGTGTCTCATGAAATGTTGTTATTTGTTGTGAAATTTATCAATGTATGAACATTAATTTTTTTCAGGAACCATCAACACCATATCCAACGTTAATTTTTGCCAATGACCGAATTTACATTTATGTCGATTTTATACTAATTATTTTAACAACATTACCAGATGATGTTCTTGGTCTTCTTATTGGCATGTATAGTGTATTCGAATTGAATTTTAATAGACATAGTTGTGCGATACGATTCATTTATGCAATTCTTCATAATGATAAACGTTTTCTTTCAAATACAATGCATATATTAATCAAGGAGAAAGATATTGATATTATTAATGAAACAAATCGACAATAAACAGCATCTGCAAATTCTATCTCGAACAATTCAACAACATTGAGCACCAGCTCACAGATTTCAACACGTAATAAAATCATTACAGAAAATACATCTATGGATGAAGAAAATAATTCCAATGCTCCAGATCGAACAAATTCATGTTATTCTAATGATATTATTGATTTAAATTCAAATAGGCCCATTGTTCTAAATTGATTATCGTTTGACTTCGCAAATCTGAATTTTATTTTAAATAGATTACCGAAGAATGTCACAGAAAAGTCTTCTTTGGGTACTAGGACAATTCGTTGTGGGACAATTCGTTGCAATGACATAAGCCAATCCAAATTAGTATCTATTTTTCAACAATGAAACATCTTATTCAATTAAATTTGAAACATGTAATTCAATGACCATAAAAATTATTAGAAATATTACTAATGACTAAACTTGGATTTTTTATCTCGAACAGTACAATAGCCTTTTTGTGCCAATAAAAGTTTATTTTGTTCGAGCTATACAAGTGATGAAAGTTTTCCTATACCAGTGGAAGTAGTAATGCACATTTTTTTAATTTATGCTGCAGCTCAAGGCTTCTGGCAATGAGAAAATACCTTGACAAGGCTAACAAAATTTAGCGTTCACTGAAGGGGAGCAGCATTGACGTCACTACAAAAAAAACCTTTTAATGAATTTCTATTTTTAAATCTTCGCGTTGGACGTATAAATTCTGCTATTTTAGAGAGCATCACCTGTTATTTTATATATTTAAAACGAAACTAGTCGAATTGAATCGTTGATTGATGCAACGTCGGGAATAGTTTTGATGATACCTCGTAATTGAAGGTTTTTTACATCCTACTGACATTAATTATGGAGTAGGAAACGAATCTGATTTTTTTGTCCTACTAGGATTCTTTATAGTGGACATCCTGAAATCAAAAATCGAAGTCTAGTAATTAGTAATATTTCTAATAATCTTTATGGTCATTGAATTACATGTTTCAAACTTAATTGAATAAGTTGTTCCATTGTTGAAAAATACATACTAATTTTGATTGGCTTATGTCATTGCAACGAATTGTCCTGCAACGACTTGCCCGATCACCCTTCTTTGTTAATTGATTCTCAAAATCAGAGAATGAATTTTCGTAAACGATCCCAAAGACACACCATCGTGATACAAGATAATCAAAAATCATTTACAGTCGATGATGATCAAGGTGAACAAACTCAAGAAAATATGAATCCATCGAATGATGCTAAATCAAATATTGCTAATCGACCAAATAAAAAAAACATCATTCTTAACATATATTTTTCAAAAAGACAACTTTGAGAGACTTCGTTTCTTTTTTTTTATTGATTCACTATTCTCTAGATACTGAAAGTTGTTTAAAGACGTCATACACAAGCCATACCCAAGAACAAGTGTCTATAAGCATTTTTGTTCGCCCATATTATCATCCGAAACGGATCACCCTTCTTCTCAGAAGAAGTAAGTAATTTGGCTCTTAATTATTGGCTGGTTCAGAATATGTGAGCCGTTTCGGATGATAGCATGGGACAAAAAACAGACTTACCAACACTTATCCTTTTTTATTTATCTTTTTTAAACATAAACCAATAAAACGTGATGAAGCAGCTCGTTATAATATTCCAATATTATTTCTCTTCTAACAACAGAGCAAATCAACCATAAAATCAAATCACACGAAGCAGATAAGTCTAACACTAACTACTATTAACAAATCATTCTAATCCTTGAAAAGAAAGCATTCGAAAATACAACTAAAAACATTTCTTTTATATGTTTCCGCTCTTTTCTTGTATCTTTGTCATATTTAACCATGCAGAGGTATTGATTCAATTGCCATCAACCCTAAGACAGAACTACTATAAAAACTCTGAATAAAACTTCTACAGGGTGGTCCATAATTAACGCAACCGAAGTAAAAATTGAATATCTCCTGTACAGCTCAAGCAAAGGAGCTGATTTCTTCACCAGTGATAGAGGCATGTATCAGCTTT